CTGCATATGCCCAAGCAATTCTACCTGAGCCCATGAAATCCCTCCACATAACCTCTTTAATAATAAATTGCTAGAAATGTGATTCGTAAATGCGAATTTCATATCCTGTAAATCCTAGGATAATTTTTGAAGGATCTCAGAATAACTTAAAAATCCGAAAATGAATGATCATTGAGCCTGATGTAACTTACTTAGAAGGTCTGCTATTGGTAGGATACAGCTACAGGCCACTTTTCGACAAAAAGATAATACTCGCAGTACGCGGTGTTACATTTCAGAAGGAGCACCAATAATATTCTCTTTGTTCAAATGCACATTACTTTCAAGACAACCTGATACCACTTGATGTGAAAAGCAGTCATGATCTTCCGATGTTCCATGCGTTTGTGAAAGTTTCATCTGTATCAAATCTTCAACTGAACAATTTTAACCTGGAACTTCATCCTAATAGATGTGTTTATCGTGAAATTCAACTGCTTGTCTCGTTGGTGATGTGAGTCTCAGGATGTATCATGAGCGATTTCATTCCTTCTGGATGAAAACAACGTTTTGCACACCACGCACTCTTCAAAGTCAGATATCTAACGTTTTTGTGAGTTTATTCCCTATGAAAAGCCTGTATCCCATAGAATAACTACCATAACACTAATTATCGCCTTTAGTCAAATTGGAACTTTCAAATATAAAACTCTTAGTGCTTAAAACAGAAATAAAAGTCATTTCTATGAATAATTTCTCTTGTCGTATGCTTGTCTGAGTAATAATTCATCTAGGATATCAAAATACTTTGCTCATCAGTGAGAGCAAAATACAAGCAAACATCACTTTTTCGACTGCAGAAGCATAAAACTGATTAAACGTTTCCCAATTTTGCAAAAAAATAATGCCCCTGCAAACATGAGCAGAATGACAGATACTACGCGCAAAAATACATCCCGAAAGCCCTTATCCTCGCCCTCACGCTATTTGAACGTGCATTCTAAACCCACCGTGGTGCACAAATTGGGCGTGGAAACTTGATCAGACATATCGGATGGCATTTATTAATCAATATCTTTCAAAGAATCATAAATAAGATGTGGTTCCAGAGTGATTTACCGTCCCATCTTTCTGAATCCCCTGATCGTCAACTACCTCTGAGTGACCGAGACGTCTTGTGTTGAACAGGTCCCACGTCATTCTTGTTCCAGTGGCGACTTCTCAAAGTATCCCGGCTTGGTAAATCTTCTCATGGATTTTGCCCAGGTCTTCTCCTGAATGCGTCCACACTTATTGATTTTAGACCTAATTTAAGTCAGGGTAAACAGTCATTTTGAATCCCAACGACGTGGAGTTATCAAACGTATTTAGTACATCTAAGTGGAACAGGCCAGGGTTTTTTGCCTCACGCATCACCAACTAATACAATACAATTACTTACCTCTCCTGTAGAAGTTCTGGCAGTCACTACATACTTCCTGCATCCACTACTACTGCCATTATTTATACCCGACAACCCGACAAACCAACATTGCTGCCGAGAGCACATCCTCAAAAATCGTTCAAAAAGGCTTTTTATCCCTGTCGTTTTGGCCCCCAATAAGCCGTTGACATTCTAAAATTGTCTGAGAGATTTTCCCTTTGTGTACATACTGAAACCACTATCCATGTACAAGGTGGACAAATATGCAAGGATCAACAGTATGTGTGATGGATTACTCAAGACCTGCTTCCAGACACAAGAACTGGAACTATGTGATATGATCTTGATGTTATAAAGTGAAATTTCTGTCAACCCTCCAATTGCGGTGCCGGAGGCATGGTTTTCGTTTCTAACTAAAGGATGACTATCGAAAATATTTCGCTTGATTGTCATAGATTTCCACTCTGGAATAATCCTTTTGCACTCGTTCTGGTCTAAGAAGTTCGCATTGTTACACATTGTCGAGAACCAGTTCCTTAGATAGCAGGTAAAACCTGGATCAGCTGAGAAAGAAACTACCGTGAGCGGGCTATCCAATACAGCGCCGGTGAAGTAGGATTTTAACTTGGCTGTGGCCGCAGGACGGCTGTTAAGTCATCTCACAGCACTCCTACATTTAAAAGATAGGCGGAAGATGCCAACTGAAGAAAGAGACGATTTCACCACACACCCAAGAGTGATTTACTCTCCATGCCAAAAAATCAAACAACTCGTAAAAATTATATGTCAAAGCATACAAGTAGCTAATGTTCGTAGGACGTCAGGACTGCAGCATAACTGTGGAATCTACAACAAACATAAAACAAGGCGCAGGGTCTTTGTGTACAGGAAAAAAGGACAAACACGACTTCTTTAGGTTTCGTAATCAGCTGTATAGACCAACAGCTAAGTAAAACTGCCGGCACATAAACGTTACAAATTTAAATCCACAACTGAAGGTGTTATCGATAACAAAATAACAAACTGGAATGTCAAAGATTTACTGCTCACCCAACAACGAATCGATATAGCGAAGTACGCAGCAGTCCTATCATCAAGTTCACGGCTGGTCAAATAAACACACCGAAAGACGTCTAAAAAACGACAATATAATACAAATCAATACCCCAAATCCTATTCCCTTCCCCTTCAGCCAACCAGCGACTGTCAAAGCCACGGTAGGGATTGTCGTGCCCAACAAGAATGAAACTGGTTCAAGTGGGCAAGGTTCTCTCAAGGCTCGTAAGCACTGACATCACTTCTTTATTTGTTAAATAAGGGTGCTTTGCAGGACACTAAAGGAACATACATATTTAAGGTTAATTGATCCTTTAATTGTTCACCGGTAAATCCCAGGTTACTTCTAAACGCCATTTCCACCGCAGAACATTAAGTATCAGTTACCAATTGATTTTCGAGTACTCAGAAATACCACTGGTAGAAATCCCATAAAGTCCACTGGGTTAAAGTGATATGTCAATGAAACCATCAACTTTTGCTGAGAGCGTCCACTAGTTTGAGATTGATATGCTGTGGAGGGGGGTTCGGAACTTCCCACAATTTCATGGATGCAGGAACTAGATGAATGGTTGGTTGTGCAGCAGTGTATAAAGTTACCACTTGTGGGAGATCGTAGTTGATTGAGTTTTAGATATCATTTATTTGTCGTGAGGACATGTTTTAACTTTCCGTCGTCCTCTTGATGCTCGGCCATTGCTTTGAAATCTACACTGGTTTGTTGTGATATATTTACGTGTATTCTAGACAGTACTTCTGCCACTCAGTTGTGATCCCCTTTCAAATATCTCATATCACTGATAAACTGTGATAAAATAAAGGTGAAGAATTTCGCGTGGTGAGTACTTGTCTGCTTTTGCTTGAGCACATAAGTGTGGAGCTTGTGGTCTATGTAGATTGTGCATTGTCTGGCCTCTACTGTGTGGAGAAGGTGTTTGCCTGCTCGTAGATAGCTAGCGGATATCAGCCAAATACAGGGTCAAGTCATCTAGAAAAAGATGATTTTGTTTCCAGCCATTATCGACCAGCTGACTCTGAGCAGCTGCTACAGACTAATCAGCCGATTAGAGACTGAGGGTGTTGATGTTCACGGGCAGTACTATGTATACTAATTTTGTAATTATTTTGTTCTTTCACTCTCCCGGTGGAACATAGGGCTCCAAGCGACAGTCTTCAAGTTTCGCTAACACTGGTATTTACTTTTTAAGGAGTGGGGTGGATAGTCTCATGCCCAAACTTACATCTTTACCAGTCTTATCACTATATTAGAGAGGAAAAGGAATATGTCGGCCGAGGATTGAACCCCGGACCACATGTGATGCCGGTGAGGACTCTGTCGATAAGCCAGCAATGCCCCACGTATAATGAAGCAAGGTTTAATACCTACAATTCCTATAGTATTCGTCCAAATTACGAAGTACATTTCGGCACCATGTAATGGTGCGAAGTTGATTTCTTAGCTAGCTAGAGATCGTGCGTGAACGAATGAATTTAACGAGATGGCGTGCCAAATTGCGTGGATGCGTGAATGTAAGCCTTCGGCTAAACAAGGCGATTTAAACAATAAGAGTCAGGATCCAGTGTTCAGTAATTAATGTTGTGGCTAATAATTCTGGGGTGCGCATTTTCCATTATTGAAAAATGACGTCTTTATCAGGATATTTTAAGGTTGTGAGTCCCACCAGAGCAACTTTCAGTCATGCAGTTATATGTCCTCTGACCACTGGAAGCCTTTTGGTTTCCTGCTTAAAGTACCAATTATGGGCTGCACATACTGTGCGCAGTTAGGAATAAAGCCCCGGAAGAAATCGGTCAAATTCAGAAAAACTTCATGTTAAGCCGGGGAAGTAGTAGATAATACCAACTGATTGTATCCACCTCTTTTGCCAGCGGCGCGACACCAATAATGTCAGTGGCATCCCATGAACTCTATTGATTAGTCCCTAGAAATACACATTGATGTCTGTTATGCTGCTGCCTTCTGATTCGCATAATACCACCCGAATGTGAACTTCACACACTTTCATATAAAAGGTATCGATAAGTTGGTCAACTATGGACTCCTTGGCAAACAGTCGTCTACAAATTTTCGCAGATTGTGCAGCATTCAGGGAGCCAGATAGCATCTACGCAAACTCACGCAGTATGCGGTGATGGCTATTTCAGCTATCGCTTTCTCTTTTTCTTCCCACCAGGCCTGTATACCTCACAGGTCATGGCAGGAGAGTTCTAAAACCAAGGAGGAAGTATATGGCTATGGAGTACTGGTCTTTATTTCGAAGCATAAACTTCTGGAACAGACTCCAAGAAGAATTGGTGTCAGCACCTTCAACTGAATAAGTCATGAAGGGCTCAGACAAGCACCGAAAACTGTTAGAAAGGGATTTCCACACGGTCCAAACTCTCAATCCTCAATCAACACAGGAATCTTTCTAAATCAGAAACCTGTTTCCGAAGTTAGTGCAAATAACTTCCAAAGAAAAAATATTCAAGCAGATATGAGCGTTTGAATTCAAAGTGTTTAAGCTAGGGCCTTTAATCCCAAGAACTGTGTGAACTGTTCCAGGAAGGATATTGGATATAAGGTTGAGTTGACCTCGCGCGGAATTCATTGTTTGCGACACGGGATGTCGTCCACTTGTGCCATTGCTCCGCCTGATACTGAAGGCGATGGCTGTTGGATGAGTCAAGTATTAGTATAGCCTTTATTTTCAACGTTTAGTAGCATACGAGATTCGTTTGTCAAGCTAGAGAAAAGGAACCTGATGTTGTACTGCTTGGTGATTCAATTTTTGTTTACATGCAATTTACTCAAGTACACTTTGTCTCTTTATACAAATGTTTGTAGACATATAAAAGACATATTGAACCTCTGCACTGTGTTAACTTCAGTATTTCCAATGACCAAACGCAGAATGTGTTGTGGAGAATAGAAAATGGAGAACTAGACGGCTTCTCACCGAAGGTAAGCACTTAATATACGCATAAAATGTTTAAAAGGTGGTTGTAATAATGATTGGCAGTCATAATACAGTGCATTCGGAAGAAGAGGTTGTTGAAGGCATTCTATCCGTTGTGGAAAAAACGAAATTTAAGCAACCTCGGGCATCTTTGATAGTTATGGTTAGTTTCCAGCAGTATGTACTCTTTTGACTATGTGAATTCACATTTTTGTTAGGTATTTGTTTACTGCATGCACAGAGTTAATCTCCCGAAGTGGCTGCCTCGAGACTAATATTAGTGTTTATTCGTGTCGTTCGATTTCCCAGTTCATTAATTTGAAGAGTTTTCCACAACAATGTGTTCAAAAGTAGTCCTTACTACGTCGTCTTCAAGAAAGCATTTAGGACCAATGTACAAGTAAAGTGTAATCTTGTTTTTGGTAAGCTGATAGAACCTATTAAGAGTGGTGTCTCCATGTGAGATGTTCAGCTTAAGCTTAAATGTTAGTATCCAGTTTTAGTGCAAACACTTACATAAGTGTCACTGTCTCTGTCTTGGCACACAAATTAACCTTCAGCAGCTTTTAACTTGCATTACTTCACTTGTGTGGGAAGGCCCAATACTAATTTGTCTATTGTGTGTGATATCGCATCTGGCGTCAAAGTGATTTTAGGTTGAAAATTCCGATCACAGACGACAAGTTACAAAACATTCATAACTTCAAGCAGACATTCACTTAAGTTTATTCTGTGCTGCTTTCGATTGTTGAGTGTCATTTGCAGTTACGATGTAAAGTTGCACATAGCTTACATCATGTCAACCTGTGAATCAGTTTTTGTATTTCGAATAGTCTCTGTTTTCGATTAGTTTATGAAAGTCATTGCACGATAAATGCTTGAGAAGTTGTTGAGTAGTTGAACTTACGTTAGGTAGTAAACAATCGCTTAATTACCCAGTTTCTTTGGTCGAGTATATTCTTGATACAATTCTAGCATCTCACTTGGACTGAACTGCATGCTTTCCGGATTGAAAGGTAATTGTACTCGTTTCTAGATGGTATGCAGAACAAGTGTTTTTCTTCTTACTCCACTCTTAGTGTTGCTTCTCGTTGGATACAACACTGCCTCGAATTCCAAAGCACTCTCTGTTTTGCCTCATATATATAATAGTGCATATTTATATAATAAATAGTCCAATATTATGACTTCTATTGACACATGAGTGGCTTGTTTAGACTGAACTGACCTACCGTTGTTGATCTACTGGTTTGATTTATGGGTACTTCATTTTTGTGGAAATGATTGAGGGGTAGTGGCTGTATTCGTAACATGTTTTCTGTCAACCGGTAATTGCCTGGAAGTGAAGGAAAGTTGATAACGTGCATATGCCACCAAGTGGGAGTTAGCGATTAGATAGTAATTTTCGAAGTTTCCTTCCTTTTATTACGGTTGTCTGAATTCAATTAAAAAACTAGTATCTAGAATTCCTCTGCTGGCTCCCACCGTGTCAATGTACGCAGAAAATCATTTTCACGACTTCGGATTTTTTTCTTTCAACTTGCGTACTGTTTTCTTATTGTGGTTTCACTAATGTGATTGTTGTTCGCTTTCTTTTTTGAGGGTCTTCTACCGTGTGGTCGGAATCCGAACAGAAGACGCACAAAACATGAAAAAATTAACAAACTACTTTCAGAAGCTTTCCGTTCTCGGCCTGATATCACTTACCTAAATCCCGATTGGGATGGTTTTATTCAGCCAGATGGGACAATTTCGCAACGCGATATGTTTGATTATATGCATCCTACAGAAAATGGCTACGAAAAGCTATGCGACCCTTTATTGGAAGAGTTGCAAAATTCTTTGCACACATTTCTGAAAACTAACGCACCCAACAGTTTTGTAGAGGACTCTTAATTCCTACTATTCCTCTATGTGGCAATGTGTTGTATAGTATTTCCAATTCCACGTCATGTATTTGTCGTTACAATCATTGAGTCAAACCAAACGGGCTTTACTATTTTCTTTAACTGATTGGTTTATTATTATGTATCTTGTCAAGTTTCTTCTTTATTTCATGTGACATCTTTTGTGTTTTACTCATGAGAATCTTTCTATAATGCCAATGTTGTTTGTTTATATATTCCCCATCCATAAATGGATATTTATTTTAGTGATCTCTCCCTCTTTGAAATCTGTTTCGTCTTTGTCGTAATGTAAGTTTACTTGAATATTACATAAGGTTTATTGATCCGATTGTCTATTTTCACTTTACAGCTCCGTGATACTTTTGTTGACTTCGGTGTTCGTTTAGAATAATAACTATTAATAAGCTACAACGTCACTTGTTTACTTTCTTATACTCAAGTGTCGTGTATTTGAAGACATTTTTGAACTAATGACTCATTACTTTTGTAGCCTTGAACACACTAGAATAACAGCAAAGGTCCAGTTTTTGAAGAAAGCTAACCTATCTCTAGATCTAACAATACAAATCCCAATGGTGGTGATGTCATAATGATACGAAATCTTGATAAAGGATTCGTTTACCATATGAGTTCATCATTCGTTAAATGCACCTTAGTAACTGTGTTCCTGTTGATAAACTTCATTGCAGGTCACACTTATTGTTGCAGAAGTTGAATTAGTGGTGCAAACCTGAGTAAGTAAAATCACTTTCAATCCCCAGTCCATTAGTTAAACCTAGTCTTCTGTACGGTATGTAAACTGCACATAACACTTCCACAAACTATATGAAAAATTCTCAACTGATTTATTGCTTGGGAGTCAAGTATGTTTTAGCAGAAATTGTGCAAGAACAACACATGCATAACTCAGCAAGAACAAATGTAATGGTTTAGTGTGAGCTAACAATTTTGCTGTAGACCTGTTTTAAACTGCTTACAACTTCAACGGGATGCATGCATTGCGGAACATTCATACACTTTCACAAGCAGGTTGCTGACATGAATACCATGTGACACTGGTCAAAAGTGATATGGGTTGTCAAAGTGGAGAGAATCGTTGATAATGCTAGATAAATTAATTTTTATAGAATGAATATAATTGGAAACAAAGGCTGACAGTTGCGTTGAAATAATTCATTGGGGACGGGAGGTTTATGCAAGGTTCAACTTCAGTAAGTCACATCTTGCATAGTCAGGAATTACGGAAGCTTGCAAAGTTACTTGAGCGAATCAGATGATTTCATCAGAAACCTTACAATCTTGACATTTGTGCCTCGTAAGTTTCGTGTGCAGCTGGATGGTATTTAACACAACTCTGTTCATTTTATCAGAAGGCCTTTGTAAATTTAATTATGGTTGACTTTACTTATTTATGGAAATATGCTTGAACTTTACCATGTGTCATCTTAAGTATCAGTGTCCTATTATTATTTATTTATTATTCCCTTGGGTTCCGAGTGGTACTTAGGGCTTCAACAACACATCTCAACTATGTTAAATTTTCTGCCGTCCTCTTCAGCTGGGTACACGATTGCTCAAACTCTCTCATCCTCATACGACCTTCTCCATGTCACCCTAGGACGACCCATTCGGATTCCACTCGAGCGATGGCCTGGCGCGCAATGTCATTCGACCGTTTGTTGATTTTCAAGTGTTGGTTTGTAGGGATTTCATTGGTTACAGGATTTCATCATGAGCTGACACTGGTTAGAAAACCATTTAAAAACCTGGGAGTACTGTACAGTTGTTTCGTCCTATTTTGGGACTCTTCAGCAGTACGCACCCACCGGGGTTCGACTGATTGTATGCGCGACCCATTTCCATTTTCTACATATTTGGTGAGCGATTGGCTCTTTGTTGGTTCGTTACCAGAGCTTCTTTTTGCTAATTCTTTCTGGCCGGCTGGCCATATGATCTTCAGTATGCAGCCAGCCGGTCCCAAGCTCGGGTAAATAGGGAGGATTCGGTGTTGGGCTAGCAACCTCACTCCACTAAACCTATCAAACCGTTAGAGAAACTTCAGCACACAAAAATATATTAAAAAATACAAAAACTTCAAATAACAACAATCTTATTCTTCGCTCGATTCGGAGGGGCGGGCTGGTGAAAGCCTTCGGGAAGCCAGTCAGATGATGTGTCTTCTCTTGGTGAAAGCAAGAATAAGAATGGGATCATGGAACGCCCGTACAATCTACGAAATCGGGAAGGCTGCCCAGGCAACCAGCGAAATCAGAAGATACGGCACGAAAGTGCTCGGAGCCTGCGAGAGCAGACAATGGATTTAGACTGTCAAAATTACCAACTAGTAAGTCAGTACTGTACTCCGGTCTGGTCAAGCATACGATAACCACGAACACACTAAGGTAGTGGCAATTATGATGCCACTAACTGCAATCAAGGCCCTCATGAAGGACAAAACTACAAGGGATGCTATCACTACAGATATCAGAGCGAAGTCGGAGACACTACGTGACATCACTGAGAAAACCTGCGTGGAAGAACATTGGTACTCTCTGAAGGCAATATTCAAAGAAACGTGTACAACTGTTCTAGGAAGAAAGAAGAGACAAGACAAGCAATGCCCCTCAAGGGACACCTACCTAGAAACTAATAGAGGAGAGGACGGTGGTGAGAGAAGATAACTATATGCAAAGATTGGCAACAGAAGGAGAAGCTGAGCTCAATGTACACTGCACTGAATAAAGAAGTTAAGAAGAGTGCTAGGAAAGACAGGAGACGATTCTACGGCACACTGGCCAGCAATTGAGGCTGAACTCGCAGGCCGCATGTAAAAGGGACCTCAGGACATCAGTTCAGATAACCTGGTCTCTGTCCGGAAGAGACCAACCCTGATGATGAAAGCAATAAAAGAAGTTCAAGGCAACCTGATTAGGAAGGAGGAGAAACAAATAAAACAATGGGCCCATCGCTTCAGAAGACTCTTGAATCAACCATCATTTGCAACTCGCCCATAAATACCATCAACAGAATGCACAGAACCACCTGCCAGTGGACACCAATGAAAGCAGAAATATTGAATGCGATCAAGCTACTGAAGTCCCATATAGGACTGACTTCATATTGTGTTGAAAATCCTAGTCTTTTTCCTTATACTGAGTGAGAGCCGAAGATTTCCAAACTAGTTTCAGGTTGACGAAGGCGTATCTTGCCTTTCCGATTCCTCATTCGTCCCGACTGTAGTTGAAACGATTCTTCCTAGATAAGTGAAGGAAGTGTCGAATTCCCCACGTTAATGGTGCTGTTTGTTCACCTGTCGTCGCTGCCTGCCTCTTCTGCCAGTTTGCTGGTTTCCGCGTGTATGTCCTCGACTTTGTGTTAGATTAGACATATATCATCTGCGAAATTAAGCTTTTTAGAGTGTTCTTATTGGGCCAACGTATTCCTGTCTCCTCACTTCCCTCGCACAGTCTGACGCATAATCCTGACCACTACAGTTAGGAATATCATCATTGATAATGGGCAACCTGCCTTGTCCTACTCCTGTATGCACTTGGAACGCCTCGCTGAGTTTTCCGTTATTGACCCCTTGACACGTGGACTCGTCATTTAGCCAACTGATGTCAGCTCATGATGAAGTCCTCCATGCAATCAAACAAAAAATCCCTACAAAACCAATACTTGAAAATTAATCTGATGCCCACTACTGACTGGCCCTATTTAGGCAGTTAACCTGGGGTTCTAGTGGGAAGCCGTGACCAGTAGGGTAAAGCAGGTTAAAGATGAGGCAGTAACTCATCGAAGAAGACATTGCGAAATGGTCGCGCTCTGTCGTGAATTGGCAGAAGTTAGAGTTCAAAAACCATTGGATCGGGTCCCAGTGGCTCAATGGTCTACGAGCTCGCCTTGTAACCAGAAGGTCCTGGGTTCGAAGTGGGGTGGGTGCGTGTTGCCGAAGAGTCCCAAACTAGAACGAAACAGCTGTCCAGTACTCCCAGGTTTTCCAGTGGTTCCCTAACTGATTTCAGCTCATGATGAAATCCTCGATGCACTATAGGCAGCTTTTGAATGAGGTTGATAGAGACTTGGGGTAACGCACGCCGTGCTGTTGAAGCAGTTTCCCAATTACTTCGTGATCAACACTGTCGAAGACCCTTTCGAAGTAGATGAAATTGAGCCACAGGTTTGATTGCCAGTACTCGATGTTACGTTCGATGAAGCTGTGTGGAGTTGCAATTTGATCAGCACATGATTTGCCTTTCCTGAATCTAGCTTGTTACGAGCTGGTGGAGTTGTTAATCCAGTGCATCCTTTATTCTCACCAGAATGAAGCGCGGCGTGGACAAGAGTATGATTCCACGCCAGTTCTTGCACAGGCCTAAGTTGCCCTTCTCTGGCATCTTGACGAGGTAGTCTTTCTTCCAACCGGTAGGTACCTTTCTTTCTCTTTTAAATTTTCGTAATAATGACTTGAGCACATCTGCAGTAGCCTCTGGGTCCGTTTTCAGTGCTTCAGAGAGGAACTCCGTCTGGTCCTGTTGCCTTTCCGGACTTCAGCAGTTTGATCGCATTTTATATTTCTGATTTCATTGGTGGATTGGTGTCCACTGGCAGGGGGTTCTGTGCATTCTGTTGATGGCCATTTTTGGGTGAGTTGCAGGTAATGGTCGATTCAGGAGTGTCTAGAAATTGGAAATAAATATGACTTCTGTTTAGGTTCAATTTATAAATTTTATAGTTTAGAGTACTGCAAATAAAAAAGGCAAAACATTGGTCTACATGGTTTCTAATGAAGTATGCAGTTGTATATGACGGCTTATTCGTTATTCTATTTGTATATATCGTTCCCGCCAAGCTGACGATGACCAATTGTACCTTTTTAAGGGGGTTTCTGAGTTGGCTCAATAAACATAGAAACTAATCACACTTTTGGTTCACATACCATTACTACTGGCTATCTGCATTTCCATTATTGTGACAACGCCACATTACTTAATAGTACTCAATAATGTGGCCGCATATACTCTCCTACTTGGTGATTTTAGCATAGACAGCTTGGAGTTGTCTCAAGTAATTAACTGACAAAAGAGCCTAGCTTATGATGTTAAGCAAAACCAGCTCGTGACTTTCACAAAAAGAATACATTTTCTGTCTGTCTGGATTCAACATAGAACTTGGCACCGAAGTGCAGCAGTTCGAGTTGCCACGTTCCAAATAGCACACAGAGGTTGTGTTCAACTGTCCGCTATGCACTATATGGATGAATATACTTTGCGTCACTGCACCAGCCGTTTTAAGAGCCAGGCCAATTGATAAATGTAAAAGTTGAATTTACGGAAGATACTGATGTATGAACCAAATCTTTCAGCAGAAACACTCAAATTTAAAAAGAAACCAATGTGTTTAGTCAA